AGAATTTGAGTATATCTACTTGACACTAACCATGTATTCATTTTTCAACATAGGTAAAATTGACTTACGAAATAGGCAACTCCCCATATCAAGCAATATGGTATCTTGAAAGATACAGTTAAAACTTGCTATAAACAGTTGGCTCACTATGTTGCTCGGATCCTTCAAAAATGTCGCTGCACCCATGTTGGTTCCCTAAAAAATAACACATTCTTGGAGGATTTGACATGAGTGTGACAGCATTTTTGAAGGATCCGAGCAACAGTTGAATTTTAACAAGAGTCTAAAACAATATAGTGTTAATTAACTTAGATCCTATCTTGATTATCTATTCATTTGGTCATAGCGAGCGTCTCATTTCTGGCATCCTTTTTGAACTTAATTGAATTGAATTGAATTGGTGTTGCAGAATATGGATACACACACAAAGTGAATGAAAAAAGTGATGTATATAGTTTCGGAGTTGTATTGATGGAGCTTATATCTGGGAAAAGGCCAATAGAATCCGAATACGGAGAGAATGGCAACATAGTTACATGGGTGAGCAGCAAATTGAAGAGCAAGGAAAGTGTATTAAGCATAGTGGATTCAAGCATTCCTGAAGCTTTCAAGGAAGATGCAATCGAAGTCTTGAGGATTGCTATTGTATGCACATCTAGGCTTCCCACATTAAGGCCAACAATGAGAAATGTAGTCAAAATGCTGGAAAATGCAGAACCTTGCAGATTAGTTGGGATGATTGTAAGCAAAGATGATGGTAGTAACAAGACAGAACAATTGAAGGATCACACCAAGATGTAGCCTTTGTTCGTTTCACTCTTCAACCTGATCTCTGTCCTCACGGAACGTCGAATCTTGTAGCAGTATGTAAAGTTTTGAAGATGGCCTCTTGGCCTTGTAACATATAGTAGAGGCTAGATTCATATTAGTATATTGAATTAGATTGAATTTAGAGATGCATGGCATAAGTGCTATAAGATGTAATATTACTTGTATGAGCTAAATAAAAATGGTTAAGTTATTCATATCCTTTCTCAACCCTGCAATTTTTGCTTTGTTTCCATAAGAAACATGTAATTATACTTATCTACGTCCAACTTTACTATTTATATCAAACCAATAAATACATGAAATATGTCTGCACATGCATTTTACCAAAAAAAAAAGGTTTGATCCCATTCGAATCATGATAGAAATAGTTTGATTTGGCTAATTAATAGACGTGAGTTAGAAAATAGTTACGTCTTTCTTGTCATGTCTATATATTCCAATAGAGAAAACTTGAGAATACTAACACGTAAATAGATTAAGTTTGATGAATAAATATAGTAAGTAACATTCTTTTGAGTAAAGTGTAGAGAAGTACTACAATTATTAGTGGTGGGATGATTAAAATTTCTCTATCCTTAATCGAGTTTATGAAAAATATCATGTTCAGAGTGTTGCCGTCCAAAATGGGCCCTGCAATATACGAATCTGAATTTAGTCAATGTCATTATAATTATCAAACACCGAATACGTCCCTACCGTCTATTATTTTCCATATGTAGAACTACAATAGAGAAAATGGTTTTCCAGCTTCATTTTCATTCCTTCTTTTTTTGTGTTGAGGCGAAGAAAAAATGAAGTCCACTCAGCCCAATAACTCGATAGGCCTAGTAAAATGATAAGTCTCATCAATTGTTTATTTGGGCCTTTGGGAAATGCTATTGCCACTTCTCATTTTCCATCGGTATCCATATTGGAACTTGTAGACAGCGCTTTGTGGTGCGACAACGGGCCTCTCACCTTTCAGGGACTTGTTTCCCAAGCCATTAGGCCTAGGGCATGTCACGCATCCTTCCGCAACGCGTCGCGTGGAACAGAAGTTGGCCTCCCTTGCACTCCGAATGCTTAGATGGCCAAACTAAATTTGAATTCATAATGGAAACAATAAAACACTTACTAATAAAGACGACTCTGTACCAAGGGGTCACTTCTCATTCATTTGTACTGAAACATCTAAAAATTTGATTTGAAAATGAAATTTTGTTTGGACATATAATAGGAATTTCTTAAATTATACTCATAAACATGAAAACCCCAAAAGTTGTGAAAACTATCAAAAGTTATCTAATTCTTATATAATCTTACCAACTAAGCAAATCGTAATTTTTAAAAAAGACTTGGTATAACCCATGTGACATATTAATAAATCACATATCTTCAAATTTCTTTATAAATTACTGTTTGTAATCAAAAACATCCAAACACACATAATTATAAAAATTCACTACTAACAATATCAATAACTAGCTATACTTTAATATAATTCTATCTTATGGTACACATATCTCTTCAAGACAAGCATGAATTTTTTTTTAGTTATTTATTTTTACAAAATTCAACTTTTATATTTTAAAAAAATATTTTAATCTTAAATTCTACTTTTTGAAATCATAATCTCTAAATTAGACCATGAGTAACTTTTGTAGGATGATGATCCGTTTGGTAGGATGTATTAATTAAAATAGTCCATAAATTAAAATTTAGTTGAATAAAAACATTGTTTGATTACTTTATTTAACTTAATTCATGGATTAGTTATACCTCATACAAAGTCTTATTTTATTCCTAGGAAAGAGAGAGATAGATAATTCAAGGTTCAATAATAGTTGGATAAGACCCTTAAATGACTAAATTATCCCCAATTTTTTTTAATTAATGTTCTTTTTTTTATACGATAATATTTATAAATATTCATATAGATCCTCCAGATCTGTTCATGTAATTTGATGATTTCACAAAGAAATATTTTTTTTGTTTTTTTTTAAATATAGTTCGTCGATTGACCACTTGAACTTATTTTTTTCATTTTTAAAATAAGCTTCATGCATTTGAACAATTTAAGTAGCCTTAAATTCATGTTAAATTTAAGATATATTTGACCAATAAAAAATTAGAAATATGCCGTGCTATCAAGGATCTCTGTAGTGATATATCACACCTCAAAATTAATAATATTTTCTTAATATATATTCTAGTATTTAACTTGACTAGTTAAATGAAATATAAAATCTCATAATAACTCAACGGTATAGTAGGAAATAAATTTTTTCTAGAGTGTTAAACCAAATACAAGATTAGGTCGGAAACAATGAACCAAACACTTGATAAAAATTAATCCCTACATTACTAAATCATGTATTATTAATTCATACGTTAATAATTCCTGCATTACGTATCTTTGTACCGAATGATCCCTTAGCAGTATAATTCAACTTATTCAACTTGGTTTAAATTTAGTTTTGTATCTTTTCAGATGACATATATGAGTCATCCCAATAGTACTATATATATATATATATATAATCTTAATAAGTTGTTGAGTATTGGTTACACTTTGTTGTACCAATGAAATTGAATTTTGATCAATGACACAAAGATTCCTTTCCCACAAATTCCAAATTTAAAGTAATTCTTTGAAAAATATATTTAAAAACCTTGACCAAACACTAATTGCTGATCAAGAGTGTTTTATTTATTTATTGGTCAACGAAAATCATTTCTCCAATTTTTTTTGAAAAATAAATTGATTTAAAAAAATTTCCTAGGTTTATTGAAAAATTTCTCTCTTCATATATGATCTCTTGTCTGACTTTGGATTTGAAAGCAACTGTATATTTTTCATTAGTGAAAGCAACTGTATTTTTTCTTTCAATTTGCAAGCAACTGCATTTTATTTTATTTTCTGTTTATATATAAATATGAAAGCAACTGTATTAAATAAAGTACCAAAATAGCTACACAATATTTTCGTCCATAATGGCATGCACAAAATGAAATTCAACTACGAATATTTAAATAAATTTAAATAAATGCACATAAGTTATGATAATAACTTTAAAAGAATTTGTCTTTTAATATTATGAAAACTAACTTAACTACACATATATCATTGCCATATATATTATATTTACTTCTAATTTAAAATAATTATATATAATCATTTTTAGTTATTATATTTTGAAAGATTTATTAGATACATAAATCTATTAAATATGGTATTAAATAATCATTTTAAGAGTAATAAAATGAAACTAATCAAATTACATGATCAAGATATAAATGTTTTTGTTTTTTATTAATAATTATATTAATTTCAAATTATTATTTCGAAGAATAATAGATGAAATTAAGCAAACATAAATCCACTCCTTAATTTTTGCTCAATATAATTAAGAGATTTGATTAATTTAATTTCGAGATTTAATTGATCATGTATTCTAAAAATCATCAATTAATCCTTTAATTAAGAAAATCAGTTACAACTAATTAATTTATAAAAATAAAATATGTATTTCAATTCTAAAATTTGATAGATACATATGTCTCGCGGATTTAAACTCATGTATCTAAGTATGAAATATGGTAGAGGAGACAAGATTGAACATTATTGGAAATCTTAGTAATTATAATCTAAACTAGTGAGATTTATGTAGTTGGCCTTATTATATTCGAGTTCAGAATCGAAATAAGCCACAAAAAGATAAAAGTGATCAAAATAAGCCACTATTTCGAGAAGTAACTAAAATAGTCTTAGTGAAAGAAAAAACTCCACTTTAATCTAATATTCTAAACGTTGAATATTTTAATACATAACGGAATTATTTATTACACTTTATAAAGTGTGAGTTTTTCTTAGACTTTGTAAATAAAATGTTTTCTTATCCTTTACAAAGTGGAAGAAAAACATATATCTTATAAAAGAAATATTTTCACATTTTAAAGTTTTATAAAACTTTTACAGTATTTATCATACAATTATATTAATTTCACGTATCATAAAATAATACTAATCACTCACTATCTAGAAATCAGGTTTGATTATATTTAACTTTAAAAGTACTCGTTATTAAAAAGAATTAAATTTAATACTCAATTAAACACCACATAATTGGTCCTTTTCTTAAACTATTTTTTTAATTTATGGAAATTATTTTATTAAACTTAATAAGTAAAATTCAGTTTCCCCTACTCAACCGTGACTCTTGTACTGTGAGAGTAAAATTGCAGAGCATCACCACCACTACAATCGGAGTTCCATTCATCATATTCCTCAACAAATTTTACTTTCAGTAAAACTCTTTATTTTTTGATGGATTTTCCGGATAACCGATTCTCCGGCCTAATTCCGGCGACGTTTAGTGCCGTTGTTAACTCGTCATGTCCACTTTTAGGCTTCATCGGTCGACTTTCTCCGGTTACCGGTGCAGCATCTGCCGCCGCGATTATAATCGTGACCGTCGCTCTACCGGGGCTCCTTTACTTGAAAAATAACAAAAATAAAATTCCTGATGAACGGCATAATAACCGTGGCGAGTCGACGCACGCTCCGACGTTTGACCCTCTTCTGAATGGTACAATAATATATGCTTTTATTGAAATAAATTTCTTTAATTTTGGTTGTGATGTTCTGGGTTTTGCCCAAAAGTTGTGTTTCTCTTATGATCAACATGTGCGTTCACACCAGGGTTCAGGATGTAGAATTTGACATTGTTATTTTACCGATCCTAAAGAAGAAGGATCACATTTTCACATTATTTATTGATCCTATTGTTTGATGTTATAAGAAAAATTAGTTTGTTTTTTCTTTTCCACAAATTTGTTCGTGTTGAAGTTGAATAGTTTTCCTTGTTTAAATGTTAACTTCAGTTTTTTAGTTGTTGTATCTATGTATTGAAACTGTTAGTTGAAGTTCTGCACTTTTACCTCGAAATACTTAGCTCCTGTTTGATCATAGATTTCGAAGTTGAAACTTTGAGTTTTTGAAGTTGCGATTTTTTTAACTTTGATGTTGTTTTTGGATTTTTTTTGAAGTTGTGTGTGTGGAATTCCCAAAACTGGAACTTGAATATTTTTCGATCCAAAATCTATGGTCAGACTTTAGCTTAGTAGGAGCTCCTACTTCTCACACTGTGAAAATGAGCTATCTCAAGGAGTAAGGACAGTGGTTCTTAGGATATGACCGGATTCTGTGGGACTCTCATTGCACTCTATCCGAGTGAATTTCACATCTCAACTGTTTTGTGTTATAATTATGAGGAGGAGGGTGATGTGTCATCTCTTCTTGTTGATGTAAGGTTATTTACTACGAATTGCAGATTGACTTAGAGAAACCTGATCAAGTTTCCAACTTAATCTATTATAAGTCACCCTTAGAACTTCTGTACCTTTTTTTATGAGCTTGAACTGTTTTTTTCCTCATTAGGTGATTGGTTATGTTGATTATAGGTCTTGATCTTCTACATTGATAGGTCAGTGATGTTAAGTTTCCAAGATGATCACTTTGTATTCATTGTTTTCTCTCTGTCAAAAAAAAATTGATTGTTTTCTGCTTTGAGTCAATCTCATGCGGTGTGATTAAAACAATTCTTTGGAAGAGGGAAAGCAAGAAATGATGGGGTATATTGTTATTGCTTAAAAGCAACAGACCATTTAAAGAAGTTGAAGCTAGATTATTATGTACAACATTACATTATGGATATGAAAGTCTGTAGACTCATTTCACACAGGGCTCGATTAAATTCATTATAGCTCCTCCCCAGGCCATTCTTGAAATTTTACTTCAGTAAGTAATGCTCAAATATATTTATTATATCCTTGACGTCCTTAACCTATTGGCTGTTTGAAATGAAAATTTAGTTTTGTTCGCATACCAAGTATTTCTTCTGTAATCCACAATTGTACTTGTAATCATGTTGCAGAATTTGTTGAAGGACGTATAAGTGAGATAGATGTCTATTTTGATGCTGAATATGCAGAAGAGTTACAAATTCATGAAGCTTTAGTAGCCTCACTTTACACTGGTCAAAGCAGTAATCATGCATCTGTATCTGCTCAAGGACTTTTGTCTGAAACAGAGATGTTGAATCTTGAAAAAGAAGGTGAAGATCAACTTAACAACTTCTGTGAGATTTGCTTGGATGACAAAGAAGGATGGGAGATGTTTAAAAATGACACTTGTTCTCATTCCTTCTGTTACGAGTGCACTGGCAAGCATATTATGGCAAGGATATCAGAGAAAGCAAAAGTAATTGGTTGCCCTGCAGTAAGTTGTGGTGCTGCTTTTGATGTTAATGCTTGTAGGTTCTTGATTCCTGAAGATGCACGGATCCAGTGGGATGAATCGGTATGTCAGTCAATGATTCTCGACTCTCAAAAACTTTACTGCCCTTTCCGTGATTGCTCAGCCCTGTTGATAAATGATTCTGGGGCAACTATAGAAAGGAACAGATGCCCTTTGTGCAAGAGATCATTCTGTGCAGTATGTCGAGTTCCATGGCATTCAGAATTTACATGCAAAGAATTCCAGAAACTGAATGCCAAAAAGGGGGGCAAGGGGGAAGAAATGGTGAAGATACTTGCCAAGAAGAAAAACTGGCAGAAATGTCCTAATTGTAAAGTATATGTTGAGAAGACAGAGGGATGCATTCACATGACTTGCCGGTGTGAACATGAGTTCTGCTACAGATGTGGTGCAAAATGGACTCTTTCTCATCATTGCCGTAAAAAATGATGTTATGTTTAAAGCTCCATAAGATTTCTCCGGGAAGTGATAATATTGATTATACTTCCTCTAGGGTCAGTTTAGCTAATAGCAATATTTAGGTTGTTGAATCTTTTGGAAGGAAACAGTACATAACAATCTGGATTTTTATCTTTTGTCCATGATAACTGGTAAGTACTAACTAGCAGTGTTGAGTAATATAATAGCTTTTGCTTTATGTACAATTTTCTGAAGAAAAAATCATGCATGTAAGACTCTTTCTTGTCTTACCATGGGTAACAGAGGACATAGTAAGTTTTCTTTTCTTCAAACTGTTAACGAAAATAGTATACTTGAGCTCGATGGTGTATTGGAAACAACTTCTCTACCTTTACGAGATACAGGAAAATTGCAATAGTACTAGTGTTTTTAGATTTGCTCTTTCTATTGATTTGTTTGAATTGACCCCGTATGGGCCTAACCCAAGTGATTTGCACTCTTAGATGTTGTTTTACTTGGGAACAGTCCACTAAGAAAGCTCATCTTTCAACTCCAGATTAGTCCTCAATGAGTTGTTCACTGGAATGTCGTTAGTTAGTGATGTCAACTAATATTCCTCTGTTGCGATTAAGGTATTCTTATCTTCGGCCCCGCGAGTTCTGGCCTTTTCCCGATGACGATTATTCTAGCCACTTGAGAAACTAATTGAGAACCTATCTAACTTTAGTTATGAGATTAAGAATGGTTTCTTTTCATTGAGCCCAATATATATTTATACAGGTGACAAATTCAAAACCTTGGTCTCTACACAACAAAGTGATTGATACGAAGGTTAGAATTTAAGGGTTCGTTTGGACATGATCTCATATTGATTTGAGATGAAGTTAATTTAAATTGAAGTTACATTTGGATATAATTTAGATTTCTTAAGTTGTATTTATATTTTTCCTCTTGTAAACATGAAAATCCAATAATCTGTGAAAACTATCAAAATTTTCACAGGTCTTATACAATTTTAAGATATTTTAATATCTTATTTATGAACTATGTCTTGCTCATTTGATAAGATTTATACAAACTGGGGAGTTCAGTAGTTTTCACAAATTGTGGGATATCATATTTTATGAGGAAAAAAAGAGTACAATTTCAAGAATTTGCCAATTACAAATCTTCTATTTAAAAAAATTATCCTAGGCAAAGGTAAATTATGTTTTTCTTAAAAACACACACACACACACATATAATACACACACACGTATGTATGTATATATATATGACTCAAATGAAGGAGTATTGTAGTATTTACAAATCGTATAATACATGTGATGCTTCGTGTATCGAACGACGCTTTATATTGGTACTTGAATCTCATTAATTCGAAAAAACTTTTTTTTAAAAAAAGAGAGCGGTTTCCGTTTCGAATCAACAATTTCGCAGAGTAGCTAGTCACTTCTTTTGAAGCTATGTTGTAAAGGAACCTTTTTTTTTCTGCTTCGCAAGTGTGGTTCATTTGTTTATATCGTGTTATATACCATAGGGACTACATAATTCATAAAAAAAAAAGGGTAATTAAATAACAATAGTAACAAACATATCACTGTAATTTTATTAGTATAGTTTAATTAAAATGATATATACATATATAGCCTTATCTCTATATCTTGTAAAAGTAGAGACGGATTAATTCTGATAGACTCCAATTTATCGAGTGAAGCATCTCAAAATCAATAAGAACATACAGAAAATAAATGAAAATAAACAGTAAACACAAATAGAAACAAAAAGAACCTCATATAGTAGTAACGTTGAAGAATAATATTGCTAAGGATTTAAAAACAATGTTCGATTACCCCCTAATTTTTTACCCTTATTCTTGATCTACATGATATCCTTCTAATTAGGCTCATATCCTCGGTAAGCTGTAGGTATATCATACCTTGTCTAATTACATCTCCCAAATACGGTCTTTGTTTTACCTCTAGCTCTTCCTCTCCTAAAACTCACCCATGGCCAACCTCTCACATCTCCTCAAAATGGCATCTATGCATCTCCTCCACATGTTTGAACTATCTCAAACTGGCCTCCTTCATTTTGTCCCGAAACCACGTCTTGTCCCTTACATCTTGTTTCTAGTCCTCCTAATATATGTACTCATCAATCTCAACATCTTTATCTCCATTATTTTTACCTTTGATTTTCCAAATGGAGAGAAATGCATTTTAAGAATGACCTAGACGTTCTAAATGATTGAGGTAATTATGAACCCCTAATACTAGTAAGGTTTTTGTTAAATATTCTCAGCATCATGTATAATTAAATGGACTAAACAAACCATGTGTCAAGTTGACGGACAAAATGTAACAATTCGAACTATAGTGTTATACTACATTTTAATTCAACGGTTTACTAACTTATACGCCAATCAAAACGGAGCTAGGTGAAGAATTGTGAGTTCGAACGAATTCAATAGCATTTTTATAAACCTTATATTTGTACTAAAAAATTAGTTATACACCAATGATCCATTACTATTCTTTTCTTTATTTGAAAATTCGTACTTTCAAACATGAATATTATTTAAAATATTTTTTTTACCAAAAAAACATATTTAAACATCATTCTCTTTTCGACACAAAATTTATTAACTTTAAATAAAATAAAAAATATTTAAAATCTATAATAAAACGCCTACTTTGAGAGTAAATATCGAGTAAAAGACAAATATGGATAAGAATTTGTCTAATGTGGCATCCTATTTGACAAGTAGTCAATAAATTCGAATTTTTGATCGCTTTATTTATTGATATAAAGTTGTAAAAAAAGTGCTTAGGTATTATAAAGGTTAACTTTATTTATTTGTCTCGTTTGTTGCTTTCTTAAAGCAAAGAAGATAAAGTTTTCTATCGACTTTGACCTCAATAAGTATAAAACTCCATGAATTACTTTTCAAAAATAGTCAGTTTATTAGGAATAATTTAGAACTAACTTAACAAATATAATATTTAAATTTTATTGTTGAATTTTAAAATTATGATTTAAAATTTGATAATGAACAAAAATATTTGAAAATTTGAGTTCGATTGAATCTATACAATATACTATATATATGTCTGAACCTTTTTTTGTGTAAATGAATGTGCTATAACTCTGAGAATCTTATTTAGTTCAAATTATATATAATTAAATTATGTCTTAATCGAAGTTACGAGCTCCAATCCAATATAATTAACGTTTTCTGTTTCAACATATGAATTAAGGAATTTATTTACTTTTAAAAATAAGAAGAATTTTGACTTAAATAATTTTATTTATGATTTTTTTTTGTAGATTTGATATAACTATAATTAATTTTGTACATTGATTTAAGAATACACGGACGGTAAATTGGGAACAATAATTAAAATTGATTTTGGACCTATTTTTAAAGATTAAAATATTACTTCTTTCGTCTCATATTAGTCATTTATTTTTTCTTTTAAACACCCCTTAAGAAATTATAAATAAGAACGCACGGTTATTTGCTAATTTATTGTTTAAGAAAAGCAAATTTTACAAACTTGTTTATAACATTTTAAAAGGAATTATTTGTAAGAGTAAATTGAAAAAAAAAATTAATGGTCAATTAATCCTCTCTTGATTTTTTTTTTGTAAATTGATAATTATTTTTAATAAAGTGACAATCAATACTGGACGGAGAAAATAATATTTTGGACAAGAGGAAGTAAATTTTTTGCTGTATTTATAAATTGGAAAAAAAATTTAGAAAACTTATTAAGAATATAAACAAATATAGAAGACCACAAAATTTTTGTGTTCTTAAATAATTAATTCAGTTATTGTACTTTGGGTTATGAATCATTTCCTCATAGAATAAAATGATACCTATCGTAAGAGTGACGGTACCTTAAATGCTCACAATTTTGTTGAACACAATGTCAATTTAAAATTCCATACAAAAATAATTTTGTTTGTAAAAAAATATACAATAATAATTTCAGAATTCGATACAGAAGAATGAAACGAAGAACTTTCTTCTCAACTCTTTATTAGCTAGAAAAAAAATACTTTTAAATATAAGTAACTAATTTATTTTATTTTTACAACCAATAAGTTCCTATAAACAAAAACTTGAAATTTTTAAATTTTTCTTCATTTATTCTTCACACCAACACTTTTAACTCTTAACTCTGTCAAAATCTATTAAAAGTGTTGAGTGTTTTACCAATAGGAAACCACCATGACCTCAATTTGCACTTTTCCTTTTCATCCACTTTTATTATTATTCAGTGCCCTATTAGGTTGAAGTTCATGATAATTTTAAAACTAATTAAATAATCTAAGTTTGTGCAAAAAAAAAAAGAGCATAACCATAGAATTGCCAACTCCAATATGGAATAATAATAATAAATAATAAATGTTTTAATAGGAATAAGAATTATATTCCTAAAATTATCATTACAAATTGACTTTGCTAAAGCTAAAATCCTATTCATTCCTTTACACAAAGCAAGAAAAAGCATTAAAGAAACAAAGATAATTAAAGGGAATACAAATGTGCTCTGGGATGCGGCCTACCGCAACATTAACTTCACATTAAAAGTTTTAAAAAAATCTTTTAGGGCCTTAATCAATATTTTGTCATACTAATTAAAGTCGAAATAGACTTGTTATCGAGTTTTTGAAGAATTTTGTAAAGTATTGTCTGTTAAAAAAAATGAATCTTATAATTCTGAATCTCATTCTGTATACATCTAGACTTAGCAACTATAAGCCTGAAACGTATAACATACTATGAATGTCAAACCTGAAGTAAAACAACGAATTGAGTTTATCAAGTAATATCATAATTAATAGAACTTTGAAGTATCAAAAACTATTTAAAGATGTAATACACCATCAATCTATATTGTGTATGTGAAAAGTCATTAATTTTTTAAAAAATAGAAAATCGTATATATTTTTTTGAAAAAAAAACAAACAGTAGAAGACTCCCACGTGTATATATGATTACCTCATAGTTATTATATATCAACCTAAATCTTTTTTTTTTTGTAATAATATCAATATCATTCTTTCAATAAGAGTGGATATATCTTTAATCACGTCCACTATTGAGTATCTTATCCATTAGATATTCCCATTTACGTATGATCTTTTATAATAGGGAGAAGGATCAAATATGCTCGTAAACTATTTGAAAAGGTTTAGATATATCCTCCGTTTAAAGTTTGGTATATTTATACCCTTGTCGTCCAACTTTTGGTCTACCTATGTCCTT